AGCTGTACGCTAACGTACCCGACTACTAGTCGTTTGGTAGAGCTGTACGCTAACGTACCCGACTACTAGTCGTTTGGTAGAGCTGTACGCTAACGTACCCGACTACTAGTCGTTTGGTAGAGCTGTACGCTAACGTACCCGACTACTAGTCGTTTGGTAGAGCTGTACGCTAACGTACCCGACTACTAGTCTACACAGGTTACAGTGTTAATTTATCTCTTTATCGAACTTAGGCCTAACATAAGTTAAAGTTTTGTAAAGTATGGCCTATATACAAGTGGATTTACACATTTAATTGTTTATGATTACAATTCGTTTGTACTGTGCTGCAAATGTTATATTTAAAGAAGTACTGTCACGATAAATATACTAATTTGGCCGGAACTGTTTTGCGGGTCTCTGCTAGTAGTTAAGAATCGTTATGAAGTGAAACGTTATCAGGACATCAAGCAACACAGATTATGTTTGAAAACTGTCTCATTCTCTTTATTGCCTAAACAAAAGCCACATCGTATTTTTCCGTGAATAATATTAAATATGTTCTTATTTGATCTGATCTAAACAATTGAATACCAAAGTGTTCCAACTTGTTAGTGAGGTGATAGTACATGGTATGAATACACCAAATAGGCTGGAATTAGGCATATTGAAGCTGAAATATGGAAACGACCAGAAGAATGACAACTAGTCAGTAGTACCTGTCCCCTATAGATCTACTCTTTTAGGACTAATGGGATTAAGTTTCATAGTTATAACATCATTATAGGTGAATTTACAGAATAATAACCATTGAGCCACATCCTACTTCAACATGTATGTAATATATTTTTAGTTATAAGCTGAAAATGCTAGTACTGTACTGTTCTTCTAGTTTATTAAGTGTCCAGTTACTAAGTATAGTAGAGTGTTGTACTTCTATGCCATTAAGTGTCCCGTTCAAAACTCTGGCACTGTAATGTTCTTCTATTTTACTAATAGTTCAGTCAGCCTACACAAATACATACCTCAACATCAAACAATGCAACAGAAATAATGCTTTGATTTATTGTTAGAGACATGTGTTGCGAAGCTACATAAGAAAGTTTACAAAATTCTAAATGGGGGAGAATGCATAAAATTCATACCTTATTAACATATCTGATGAAAATAGTATATGATTGGATATATCAAATCAAGTTGTTTTATCATTATACACCCTTTCCATTGATATATATTATCTACTTGTGTATTTTTATTCATATAATAGTTAATGAGATGAACCCAATTCAATGCGTTTTAACTAAAGCCCAAATTAGTGATTATTCACCTATAACTTACATATTACCCCACCCATCAAAAGTAAATCTATAACAATATTATTTTAAATGACAGCCACATCTAGAAAATGAGTATAGAAAATGAGACTTAACACACACATCTTTCTATAAACATTTGCTATAACTATTCACCAACGTTGTATTACTTGAATTAATAAACAAACCAGAACCAGTTATGTTAACTTTGCGGCATTATTAAAATACATCGCACATTGATTTTAAAATAGGATTAAATTCGTTATATATTTCTTTTACAACCGGACGATCCTATCTTGAAGCTGGTACATTGTCCTCTTTATATTGTATCTTCATTTATGTCAGATTCTGTCAATTGTGTTACATTTGTACAGTTTACACCCCTATATTATCTACAGGCTATAGAACACTCAAGTCCATGCTTCCGAAATGTACAACGTTCAGTGTCACAATTCGTTTTACAGTTGCATTTTATAATTTTTAATAGGCTTTCTGGAGCTGGTGGTAAATGTGTCTTAACTGGTAATAAGCTATTGCCTACAACTGACCATCCTCCATGTTAATCCATGTTTGTATTTGAAAATAGACTCATGTTGTGGTATTGTGCAGATTTAGGAGGAAGTGTATGTACCTGTACCTTAAATGTTGGTCATATCCTAGTTTTTTTAAGTGCTGCCCTTTTTCTAATCCCATAAATGCGAGATGTTGTGTCGCAACCCGTCAAAGCATGAACGAACAGCATATAGTGACAGGTGTTTGCTACAAGTATCATCTTCGTTTGTCGAATGTCCCAAATTCTCTTCTGACTTGAAAATATTACAGCTCTGAGTATTAGCATGATAGCATAGCAATACGAGAATATCCGTGTCTTCACCGATCACCATTGTTTCACGAGTTTCTGCACAAGCAACTGCAGTCTTGACTATTAAAATATCCGCATCATCTTCAGCATATACAACTTTACATCCTCTATTCAAGTCGACGCCCGAGCATGTAAATAAAACGTTGTTTTCAGAGTTTGTTAAGAAGTGTTTTTTTTTTCCTTTGAATGGTGTATTGTCTGAAGTTAACATTCTAACCGAAAACTCCAAGCGTTCGCCGCATATGGACTACATCCTTTGTTGATAGTACTGACTAGTAGCCAAACATATAATCTATGTACATATTACAGATATCTGCAAAATCTGTGCCTTGTTGTCATAGCATGCGCTGTAATAATGATCCTACATTCAACAAATGTTGAATATTTTCAGTAATAGACTCTTGTCTTCCACAGTGTCCTGAAGCCCAAATCGCATCAGCTAATACTGGTTTGTGGTTGACTTGGAAAACCTAATGGATCAAACAGTGCAGATGGAATACTACAAAGTTCCTATCCAAATATGTGTGACATTTCTTCCGATCTAGTTGCAGCTGTTGTAAAACGTTGAAAAAGAAGCTGGGGGTCAAATTTAATTGACTCGCCATCGAATTTTACTACAGGCTTTGTAGTGAGCGTCACTGCTTGCCGAGATCTTTTGAAAGAATAATCCATCACAATTTTTTACCAACCATTCTTTTTGTAAGACTTTCGATTCGATTTCTTTTGCGTTGTAAACATTTACAAATGAATCAAACGCTACATCAGTTTCAATATTGCATAATGAGGGGGTCTTGGATAAACGGATTTCTTTATAGTAGAAAAGTTAGTACGTTTGTGTCTTCGTAGTCTCTTGTGTCTGATGTTCTAGTAAAAATGTGTCTGGAATACAATTCTTCGTCCTAAAATTGACACTACAGGACTGGTGATATATAGCATATGCTGCTGGCAAGTTACTTACACTTTCCAGTCGTCCTCCGACCTAATCAGCCCACCTATCAACACGTTCAATGCATACTTTGGTAATAATATTTTGGAAGTCTATAGTTCTGACAGAAAACGCATAATCCTCGCTTTTTTCCAGATAATTTTGCAGCTTTGCCACAAAACAAGCACTGTTTTTTAAAGCAAAACTGCTTATTACTAGATCTTAGTAAACGCAATTTTCATGTAGGAATATGTGAAGATGTTTTACTGTCACGTTTACTGACATTTGGGTTACAATAATTTTGACGACATTGTGTGAACATATTGCCCTGGAACAGTGAGAATGTTATAAGCACGTTTAGTGCTTGCAATGTTTATACCGGCAAACTCTTTCAGTCGTAACTGCACAATAGCTTTTTCATTCTGTAAGCTTCCCTTACAAATTACAAACGTGAGGAGTTCGGTTTTTCCATCTGTAAATACATTAAAAGTAACGTTATAACTATTGGATTTAACATAAAATAAAGACATAAAACAGTTTTAATACATAGATTATCCAACGAGTTCTTATGAAATACCTCCAGGTGTTAGTTTTTAATTAAAAGTAGTGTTAATTTCTTAAATGATTTTACAAACAAGCATTGAATAATTGTTTACTTTATAGTTACGTACAACTTATTGACTGTTAACAACAACACGCATACAATAAGTGGATGTAGACCTGGTCTTTAGACTCGCTACATATATTTCCACGTTTGATATCCGGGTTGCCATTAAAAAAATACGAATGTTTATATTAAACATAAGGACACACAAGAATAATACCAACGTGAGTAAAATACTGTTCTATATTTTTATAATTTATGGTTTTTCCAAATTATGGCATAAATGTACTTTCATAATTGTGAAAATCGACTAAGTCACCCCACTGATTCTTCTTTTTTAATTTGTTTTATAAGGCATTATGATGAAGCTTATATTACAAATGTATCGTTATTTATCAAAAAAAACAACTTTATCACTTTATACATATAAATACGCATTATTTTGACATGTTTTCCATCCGTGAAAACGCATTGTACTTTTTGATTTAGGGCAAAGTTCACAAGGCCTATCTGCCGCCGAGAAACGCATGACACAATCTGATTCGTCAGTTTGTATAATCTACGGACGTTTTAGGATTATAAATCAATTAGATTATACGTTTCACACATATAATAAACAATACAATGCAAGAAACTGACCATTTCCAGTTTATTTTCTTCTCACTACTTCAACAGTGTGTATCACCGGTTAGTAACAAATTTATGAGAAAAAGCATATATTATACGGTGGCTTATATGTACCACTTATAAAAATAGCAAAATTTACTTTTTAAAAACGTTTTTTTGTAATTTTCCATAGTTAGATTTTTGAACTTATAATATGTTGTGCATGAAATATAGTTTTACGTTATTCTTGAAAAAAAAATTCTATTGCAGTTAGTTTGATGTTAAAATGTAGACTGACTGGACTACAAGCGTCTCCAAATAGCAATATATTACTGTATTTGGTCTACTTTACTAAATATTCCTTTACCAATTCTAACACTATTATTATTATATTTCTAAATACCCAGTTAAAAATTCTAGTAATATGCGGTTCTTCTAAATCGTTTTTTTTACTTTAGTTTAGTTAGGACTAAACTTTACTGTACTTAATACTATCGATAAATAAACTTATATTGTTATTGTACGACCTAACGTCAAACCTATTTTAAAAACTTTGATCTTAATACTATCGATAAATAAACTTCTAATGTTATTCTACGACCTAACATCAAACCTTCTTTAAAAACTTTGATAAGTTTTTAATATTCTGTTGTACCAAATGGTTAGTAAAGTATAATTACATTCCCCTTTTGTTGTTACTTCTTGTTTCATACAGCAATTGTAGCAACTTGATCACTAAGCTTTCCAGCTCTCTGCCACAGGCAGACAGTTTGTTGTCGAGTGAATAATGCGCATGCTCGGTTTTTCTTGGGGAAACATTCTAACTACGCATGCTTATACAGCAGGTTCTCGGTTCGAAAGCGTAACGGTTGTATATACAAACAAGCAGAATAATAGTATAGATTATGTAATGAAGAAAAACGTTACTACTTTATTACACAAATTCCGATTTTTCAAACACTTTCTAAACACAAAGTTCTTTAACATAGTTTAAAACTGTGAATCTGAGACTTACAACCAAGGGGTGTGAAAAAAAATAGTATATCTGATCAGTTTTTTGTCTGTCACAAGTCAATGTCAGTAAGCTCTGTTGTTTAATACTACTAACACTAACAATATTTTGTTACAAGTCACTGATCATAAGCCCTGTAGTTTAATACTACTAACAATATTTTGTCACAAGTCACTGTACATAAGCTCTGTAGTTTAATACTACTAACAATATTTTGTTACAAGTCACTGTCATAAGCCTTGTAGTTTAATACTACTAACAATATTTTGTCACAAGTCACTGTCCATAAACTCTGTAGTTTAATACTACTAACAATATTTTGTCACAAGTCACTGTCCATAATCTCTGTAGTTTAATACTGCAAATAATATTTAACATAAAAGGCACAACATATTGAGGGAATATTGAAATTGTTGTGATGTGAGAAGACACGAAGTTTTGGATATCTCTTTATTAAAACTTTTTGTGCTAGCTTTTTCCAGCTACATGCACACACACAGAATAACAACAAACAGACTTCCTCCTGCTAAGAAGACAGATCAATGTTCTGGCAAAACATGCATGTTCCACCATAAATGAATCACTTCATTATGCTTATAAATCATTGTTCACCTACTTATTATTACATTATCAAATTGCTTGAACAACTACTTTTTATCTTAATTAGGTTTTATGATTTATTACCAAATTATGTATTTATTTATTGCAACAAGTTATAATGTTTATTATTCATTTTTGACTTGAATTAACTTTACTATCATTCACAACTGAAAGACCAGCTAGTTTTTTTTGTATCCTGAAGCAGTTAAGTGTCCACAGCATATATGAGAGAAGACTATATTTATAATTATAAAAGCTAATGAGTGAACCTAATTGTGAATGTAACAATATGTTACATCCAGTGCCAATGAGGTCTTTTGTCCAATACCAGGGCTCACTTCAGCAGGTATACCACAGACACTATCTATACATCTACAATTAAGACAGAATTTACCTAAATGACACAAAACTTACTTCACTTACTAGTCTCCTGGTATTATAAAGCATTTGTGTGATATACACAAGTTAGACAAGAAACATGTTGTTATATACAAGCAAATGTTAAGAACTTTCAAACATGCCACCAGTAGATAGAATAATAAAACATTATCACTACATGAATAGAGAGAGAGAGAGAGAGAGACAAGTAGCTACAATGCAAAACAACAAATCATAGTAAACTTGTGATGGAATTAAACAGTTAAGAGTTCTCTTATAAAAAAATACATTTAATCTTATCGTGTAAATGTAAAATAAAAATGCAAGGTCAAGATTATCTTGGATTTTAAACTTTAAAACAACAATAAAGGCTCTGGTTATACAGAGGTCAATACATATTTTGAGGTGCAATGTATATATACATAGATAAACAAAAATTAACAACAGTTCTTAGTTGAATAATCAAGGGTTAATGAATCATACTAATTGTGGAAGGAATACTTTCTAATATATGTTTTCCTCCAAGTAGCTTTTTCTTAACTGGTTGTGTTTTGAATATACTACCGAAAAGAGGTTGAGATTTGTCTTTTAAGCTATAAACTTATGTATATAAAAACTTCACAAGATGTTGCATTCTTTTTGTTTAACACTTTTGTTTTTGATTACAAAAACACTTATCCAATAACCCTCATTAATAAACTGACTGTATCACTTTGGTCTCAAATCAAGCTTATGATGTGGGAATTACTTATTAACCTAACCCAGTTTTGATGAACACAAATCATAAAATCATTTGCCCACTAGTGACACCTACATAAAAACATCCTAATATCTGGTTACATTCTCCTCTGGCACTTAAACAGCTAATGAATTCATTATGGTAATGATAAATTTATACAGGTAAAATATTCAATAATACTTTACAAACAGAGAGAACCTTTACCTGTGGAGCCATTTCTTCACGACGTAGCAGGCGAATTGCCAACTGAAGAATTCCAACAACAGCTCGCTCCAAGAGAAAATTATGCTCACTTGCTCCAGCTCCCATCACCAAACTGTAAAGGTGGTCTCTGACACTGGGCCAGATATCTCCAACTCGGTCCCTGGACACGTAATTCGAACATTTATGATGAAATTACACCAGTGTTAATCACGTATACAAAAAATTTGAAACTAATAATATTAATTAAAACTTTTAACTTCAGGTTTTAATTTACTAGTAGTAACTACAAAGAAAAAAATATTACATATCACAATCCATGTATATTTTAACTATGTGTATTCATCAGTAGGAGGTTTACAGTTGTCAAGTCTCAGATGTGTCAAGAAATTAGCATATTTAAGAAAGGGGCATGAGATAGTTAATACTATTTAAATTAAGGAGTTGAAAATCAAATTAAAAAAATCAAAATAATATAGTTAAAAATGAAAGTTGTGAATAATCTAACATTATTTATTATGTAATGTATTAATTAAAGAAGATAATTACACATATAAAAGTATACAAAACATTAAAATAATAGTAAAAAAATCACTAGATAAACCAATATTTCTTTCTCAAAAAACAGTGAAAATATACAGTTACTCTAATAATGAATAATACATAAAATGTATAGTTTTAATTTACTCAGACAGCCAAAAAATGTTATGTGAAATATTTATCTCTATTTTTTCTGTTCTTTAAACCTATACTTTGAAGTTTTGTAATTTAGTTGAGTTACAACTTTACAAGCACCCAATATTATAAATAATTTAAAATCATTTTTGAAAGAAAAAAGTCTAGTAAAGATGCAAGTTTCTGTAACCTGTGTGTGTATATATATATACATATATCATTCTGCGTACAATGAGTTTAATAACACAGGTCTTTGTACATAAAGCCATCTCTCAACATAATTCACCATTTTCTAGTTATTTTCATTATGACTTTAGCAAAAATTATGTCAGTCAAGTGTTTTAGATTTAAAAACATTACTGGACATGAGTGTTATACATAAATTTATACATGGAAAGTATTTTAATATAATTATGAAATGAAATGATTAGCATATATGTTATTCATTATGGCAACAGTGTTTATCACAAAATTATCAAGAACTCGGAATATAAAAACCTGACTCAACAAAAAGATAACTTGCTAGGTACGTTCGTTTGGGCACTTCATAATGGTTATGGGGTAAAAAAAGTAATAACGTACATACACATATTGTGTGCAACTTTTTTTTATGGTACAAAGAAAAATATAGAATGGAAATTACACAAGAGAAAAAATTAGCTTGCCTATTCTGCAAAACAATTTTGATTAAAAACTCAAGAAGAAATACTGCTGAATCTTCATTGTAATTAGTTCCTAAAGAAGCATGTCCATCTGGGCCGTGGCAGGCATAGATAAGAGCCTTAAGAAAATAAAAATAAAGTTTTTTGACAGCATAACATAATTTTTACTTTCATAGGTAGAAATGATCTATTTCAGTTCTTTTCCATAAGATTAAGACAGAAAACTTTTTTGATTTTATTAGTTTAGCAAAATAACTAATTCTGTAATATAACAAAAGGAAAGAGCAAAAACTACCTTAAAGTCTGCATAAAATACAGTTCAAAGAATAATTAACTCTACAATTTAAATAATAATGAACATGTTTTTAATCAAACAGGATTATATTATACACAGAAATGTACTTAACAGTAATCAAAAACTTACTATAAAATAAGCATTTCAAAGACATTTACTGACACTCGGTACAAATTAGTGTTTACATGATTAGAACATTATGTAAAAAACAGATTGAAGTTGATGTACATAATTTAATTCAACAAACACTTAGTTATGCATAATTAAAGGTAGAATTATACAAGGTTTTTAAAAAAAGAAAAAGACACTTGCACACACAGAAGAGGATAATATTTAAGAAATTTTTCAAAAGTCTTATTTTTCATTCCATAAATTTATCTCTAGACCCATAATATTAAAAGTTTCATGGAATTTAAATAACTTTCTTAGAGTAAAAGACAAATCAATAATAATAATAAACTTTTAAGATAAATCATTAAGTCTGTATTCGGTTAGTTCAGTTTGAGGGTAAGATCTTTTTTTCTAATTCTTATATTTTGTGACAGCAGGCTGTGTTGTGAGAGTGAAAGGTACAAGCAGTTTGTTCTACTTAAAATACAACAGAAAAATAACAACATCCTTACTTTCACTAGTTCCTGCAAAGAATCTATCCTAAGAAACTTGCTCTCCATGACTAAATGATCTGGGTGACAGTCTTGAATACAATGCTTAGCTGATTCTTTGGCCGCCTGATCTTCAGGGTTGGGAGCTCTTTGAGCCTGTGTATCTGCTGTTAGTGTGATGTATGAATAAAAGGAACTCAGGATCCCAGACTCTGCTCTTGGCATAACAGGAACATCTTCACGAATGAGAGATACAATTCGATTTGGGTGAATAAAGTCCTCAGCCTGCAGAAAATAAAAAAATAGAGGTTGAACATGAGAATATAAAACAGAAATCACACTGAATTAAAAAAACAAACAAACTTTGTCAGATTTTTCTACAGGGGCACGATTCTTTACGGTAGGTGTCTGTGACTTGTTGGCAATAAATTTCAATAATAAACAGACAACACTCAATCCACTTGTTTAAAAATAATATATTCAAAACAAGTCAAAGATATGGACAGAAATTTGTAACACTATTGTTTACCACAGTTGAACCTGGATCTTTAAATAATTCTCTTTTTTTGTCAAAAGTCCAAACAGGCTGGTTCAATTACTTTATAACCCAATTAACGAGACAAATTATTTTTCTCTATCTCTGTTGTTACAATACAATCTGTGAAACTCACTTCAAAATCACCACTATAACTGTTGGTTACCACAGTTGGATCCAGAGCTTTAAATAATTGTTTCCTTTTCATCTTACTCCACACAGATGGGTCCAATTACTTTAGAACACCCTTTGACAAGACAAATTATTTTTATTTATCTCTGTTGTTACAATACAAACTGAAACTCTCACTTTATAACTCACCCGTTACAGCTAAACTGACAAGCAGCCTAACTTCACTTTTACTTAACTTCCTCTCTATATCTGCACATATTTATAACACACAACGTATGACTCGTAAAGAGTTACGTAACAAAACTTGTCATAATTATCGCTTTTAAAATAATTAACTTTTAACCCTCTTGTTATGAAAACTAAATAATCATTAAAAATTAAATCACAAGATAAACTAAATAATAACTCTTAAACTAAACAGTCTAGTACATACAACAAACTTGAAAAATTGTTCATTGTAACAAGTATGTCACTAATCCCTTTACGGTACAATGTTTCACTAAGTCCATTAAGAGAAGTACTTGTTACAGAAAATTACCATCTCTATGCAACATCCAAGTTTATCTGTTATAGAAACTTATTTTATATAAAGATATCAAAAATATACCATCCGAATGTTAATATTTATGTCTTAAATATTAAAGATTCGTGTTTCAGGTGATCAAAAACTTTTGAAAGTGATTCAATAATTACCAGAAACAGAGAAAACAGCTATCAAACTACAGTGCAGCTGATCTTTGGATAAAAAAAAAAAAATAAATGTATCATATACACACACACACACACATTAAACTTTAGCTACATTAGAAGAAATAAGTAGCAAACTGTATTTATTCTCTCTTATTACACTTTTAACATCAACTCACCAGTGCTGGATTTCTTGTTTAGTTCAGGTGCTAAGTTCTTTATGGCTAATGTTTCTTTTAATCTTAGCCACTGCTCATTTTCAGACTTTCCGATAATTTGGAATTGTTCAATTTATACATTTACATTCATACATTTTTCTCTGTGCCAGAAATGCATGAATGTAAATGTAAAAATTGAACAGTTCCAGTCTAACAGACTTTCCCCCTTGCTTTAAAATATCACCAGAGCACTTAGCTAGGTTAAAACAATTACGCTTACCTCCACCATAACTTGAGGTAGTAACTTTGCTCTATACAGCTGAAGAATACAGTCTAACAGATTTTTCCACCCTTCTCTCAAAATATCACCATGGCGATGAGCTAGGTTAAAAACTGTTCTAGCAGCTAGCTGGGCTTTGTTGTTACCTCCAAAACTGACAGGCAATGTTTCAGGAGTCTAAACATAAACAAGTACATTTATAATTTCTTAGTTGATGTTTTAATGACACAAAATATATCTCCTGAGGAACATGCATTTTGTGCAAGACACTATAATATTTTATTTTAGATTTTTCACCCTATCCAGACAGTCAGGTATCAAATGCATACCTGCACATCAAATTTTCTAAATTTAAGCAAAATTAATAATTCTATCTACTTCAAGTTTCAACTGAAAAATATTTTGGAATTGACATTTTATCATTATGTAAGCTTACTTAGTGTAATCTGTAAATAAAAACTGTACAACTTTTCCAAGTTTCACTTCTGCACATCTCTGTTGAATCTGTCATGTAAGTAATGCATTTATCACTTTTTTTCTATTTTCTATCCATCTCAAAGTATAAATTTACATTTATATTTACATCTTTTTCAAAATATAATGATTTATTCATTGTTTTTCTCTTGCTTTTCTTTCTCTGTTAAGTATCTTTATTAGTACAGTAATACTTCAGTGCCATCCGTTTATAATGTCACAGCACATGGTTAGAATAATTCTAATACAAATTCACGAAAACCCGATATATTAGTTATTTAGGTCTAAACAGAACAACTGCAACACAGTTATAATTTGAGTTAAATATCACATTAAACAGTGGATCAAATTTTAAAAATAAATCAGATTAAATTGTAGGAGTAAATCAATTGGGACAAAAACAAATCATGCAATAGAAAGCTTAGTTTCAAAATCCAAGTATTATAACAGTCACAATAAGCACATTAAATATATATACATAAATTTATACATACCTCAGTGAAGCTCATTAGTGTTGTAAATTTACAGAGAGAAATGACAAGATTGTCAAACACATCACTCATGCCATAATGGGCAGAGATCATTGCACATTTGCGGAACCCCGAGATCGCCTTTTGTATGATGGCAAGATCTGTACTTTTATCAAACACAAATGATAAAGCAGCAACAGTTGGGCCCCAGATGATTGAGAACAAGTCATGATCAAACAAACCATTAGGAGAATGGATAAAGGAGCCATCTTTACCATTTCCTCTTTTCAACAGTACCTAGTGAAAAGAATCATGACCTTAAACATTAGCAAGTCTTGAAACACCGATTTACAAGATATCTTTTTCTATCTATTATACCCATGATATTTCAATTAAAATGTTATTAACAAGAATTTGCAGTAAATTTTTGAAAATTATCAGAACATACAACCCACTCTATTTTTAGATCAGTTCTAATTTTCCTTGATCATTAACTAAAAAACCAATAAATGTTAACATCAAACAAACATTCGCAACACTGGTCATGTTTTTAAAAAAAATTTTAACCTCTCTAAAAATATTTCAACTATTATTAATCAATACATACAGAGCTCTGACTTGAAGAATTCTTTTTAGCTCTTTATTCAGTACTATTATACTTTTACCAATAGAGAAAAACATTTATTTCTTCAATGAAAACTTATTATTTGCCATTCATAACAATGAAAAAAAAAGGAATTAGTTTCTGTTAAAACACACTATTAACAAGTTTAGAAACAATGAGTTTAGAAAACATTTCATTCTTGATGATAAATTCTGTGTTTATTTATCTATTTATCCTAATGACATAGCAATCAAAGAATTTATTTCTGTGAAGAAGAGCAGCATTATAAAGATTCAGCTTCAACAAATAATAAATAATATAATACAAAAAAAGGAAAATAATTATTCATAAACAAGCTATTATTTACCTTCCAAAGATAATTTTCTTTCACCAATCCTGTTTGTTCTGCTGGCATAACAATTTCTTCATTTCTGCACACACAAAAATTAACACACTGCTAAAAACCAAAACTAATTTTTGTCTTACACCTTTGAAAAACAAAGAAATGGTGATTTTAACACAAAAAAATTAATGATTATAAGAGTAAGTTACTCAGTTTCAAAGCCATTAGCAGGTTACTTGACATTACATTGTATATTAATCTCCGATACTTTATAGCTTTTCATTAGTGCTTTCATTCATTACAGTGCAAATTGGTACTCAATACAAGTGAAGCATTAAATGGGTAAACAAACTTAATTCAAATGTTATATATGCATAATTGTATAAGAATCCAGGAATATTAGTAATTTAAAATTACAATACTTCTCAGTAAAAAAAAATAAAAATACAAACTGTTTTCTACTATTTAGAATTAACTATTTCTTATAAAATTAAATTTAAAATGTGTACATTTTACATTAAACCCATTCTACAAATAAAGGCATTAGCTCGATGTATTATAGCCACCTCTTCTAAAGTACAAGTCAATGCAAAATTCTGAGTTTCATCTACCTCTCTCCCAATAAAGTCAGTGTCATAGAACCTTCATATTGTAAATCATTGCCCCAAACTTTATCAAAACACTGAAAGTTGCTCTTTACAAGATTTGCACTTCCATATTTCACAAGCCTAAGCTTTAAGAATTTTTACTTTCTTAACTTTCTCTGACTTACTTAGCAAGATGGATATAATTTTTTACAAGTAATTAGTTAATAAAAACCAGATGAAGTTCTAAATGCTTGAAATATCTTAATAGAAGTATCCAAGATTTATAAATTTTGAAATTATTTCTTAAAGTAACATATACCAGACAGATTCCTCGCAATTACACATTGAGAAAGAAGTATTAACCTTCAATTAAACATCCCACAAGAAACTCCTTTAATACACACACATTCTGAAAAATATTCCACTAAAAATTATGTACCAGAGAGACCTTAAGTATTTCAAAACATGCCCTTTCAAGCATCTCTTGCACATTCTACAAGTTGATATTAATATCAGATGATGCACAATTACACATAAGAATCCAAATGGTGCAACATGAATAAATATTCAAATGTAATTAATGAAAACTCTATGGTTTAAAAAAAAACTTACTTGATAGCAGTATAAACATCCTCCAACATCTCTTCATCAAAGTCCTGACCCCCATTAACATTTTTCAGGTTTTTCTTAAAATCCTTTATAAATGAACAATAGAAATTTTAAAATACTTTTCTACCTCTTCAAGCACATAGAAATGTTTAGTGGCTATAACAATTTTAGACATAATGGTACTGGCTTTTTAAACAAAAGTTTTACTTCAATATAATTTTTAATTATTATAAACTGAAAAATTAATCAATAATATGCTAAATAGAAGCTTACTTCTGATGTCATTGGAATATTCTGTTTCTTGACATTATGATTGTGTTGATCAACATTCAGCATGATTATAGCATAAGCCAGGGTAAAAGCTGCATCACTGTTTGCAAATGGTTCCCTGTTGCTTTTCTAAAACAAATATTATACAAGTTTAAATGTCACCATAATTCTTTGTAAATGTTTTATTACCACTTTTCTGTTGACAAAATACATTTGCTTTAATTTAAAATGCTTCAGTTATCTTTAAATAATGTAAAGATAGGTATATATAGAAGTTTTATTTTCTATAATATTTTAATTTATGCACACAAATGTTTTAAAACAAATAATCTGCTTTATATGCACTTAATCAAAAACAAGCTGACCATAGAATATTATCTTAATAACAGTGTTTTGAAGTACCAAACTATCTTTCATCTTTTAAAAACGAATCTTTAAAAAATTTTAGCAATTTATATAATTTAAGTAAGAAAACACTTATTCTCAAACTTTCTTTCTACATATAAAACAATTAAATAATTTTTAAATACAGAATATAGCAAGTTGCTTGAATTTAACCGATCAGTGGGATTAATTACTCCTTCAACCACATCTCTTGTAAAGTCTAAGCTTGTAATAATCTAAATGATCTTGTTAAATTATAGTTGGAGAATAAAATAATAATGACAATTTTTCAAGATTGTACAACTGTATGTCAATGCGTGAAAACTAGCCAAACTAGCATTTTAATACCCTTTTATTAGATAAAATACATCTTAATACAAAAAATGTCTATTGTGTTTCTTGTAAACAGATTATTATGTAATAAAGTTCTTTTTTACATGTAAAGAAAGCAGTCTCTTACATGCCAGTGTTCTGCAAAATGTTCCAGTAATAAAGAAATCAAGGGTGCCTCTCCAGGAAGCCGGAATGTCTCCAGGTACATTCTTAAAGCTTCATCTATTCGAATATCTTCAAAGTTGAAGGAGCTGCAAGCATATTTAATTTGTTACTAAGTGTTAAGAAAATAAAGAAGTAATCAAGTTAAAATCCTTTTAGTAATGTAGCTTAAAGTATATTCAAAACTTGTTATGCCTTTTTTTACAATATGTAATCTTATTATGCACATAGTAGTTGTCAATACAGTTTTAATGGTATGTTGAATTATACACAAACTTTTTGTATACAAAAAGTATTTCCTATAAAAGTATTACAACCATCTGTTAGCTTTAGATACAATAAACCAATAGGACCTTTTATTTTAACTATAAACAATTCATTGAAAATCTTAATCCAGCAGACACTAATAATTTACCTTGTAAATGTTTGTTTGTTTGTTATGGATTTCGAGCAAAGCTACACAAAGGCTATCTGTGTAAGACTAGAGGGAAGGCAGCTAGTCATCACCACCCACTCTTGGGCTACTCTTTTACCAACAAATAGTGGGATTGACCGTCACATTATACCACCCCCATGGCTGAAAGGGCGAGCATGTTTGGTGTGAGGGAGATTCGAACTCGCGACCCACAGATTGCGAGTTGAGCGCCCTAACCACCTGGCCATGCTGGGCTCCCTTGTAAATGTAAAAATAATACATTTACCAATTTTTTTTCATCAGCATATTATTACTGGTGATTTAAATGTGATCAAAGATATTGATCTTATAAACATTCTAAAGAAAGTAACTAAATTTGGAATCTTAAATAAAACTACAAAGAATGAATTAATACAAAATATAGAAAAAAAATATTGATGGATATATTATAAAAATTAGTAAAAAATGTTTATACTCCCGAAGATTTTTTCTTTGAATGGAAAATATTTATTATGAATAGTATAAGAAAGAAGTTAAAGTATTTAAATTTATTTAAAAGAAAAATCAAAGAAATTCAAAA